TGTAACAGGAGTTTGGGGGGCTCGGGGGTACGGGAATGGGTGTAACAGGAGTTTGGGGGGCTCAGGGGGTACGGGAGTAACGGGGGCTCGGGGGGCTTTGGGGTAACGGGGGTTTGGGGGTCTCGGGGCTGTGCAAGGTGTTGAGGGAGCTTGGGGGTGCGGGACAGTGGGGAGCACCGGGGTGGGGATGCCAGCCTGATGGAGGGAGATGTGTGGGAGATCCTGGGGGGTGCCCCGCGTCCCACCCGTGTCCCCCGCGTGTCCCCAGGGCTCCCTGCGCCACTTCCTGGGGCAGCACGTGGGGACGTGGGCGGGCAGCGTGCGCCTGGCGCTGTCCCTGGCCCGCGGCTTGGCCTTCCTGCACCAGGAGCTGTGGCGTGACGGTGAGCGAGGCGGCGCCGTGTCCGTGCCCCGTGTCCGTGCCCCGTGCCCGCTCCGGCTCTGCCCCGGGCTCCCGTGGCGCTGCCCGCCGTGACCCGCGGTGCCCGCAGGGCTGTACAAGCCCAGCGTGGTGCACCGGGACCTGAGCAGCCAGAACGTGCTGGTGCGGGAGGACGGCACCTGCGCCATCGGCGACTTCGGGCTGGCGCTGGCGCTGCCGCCGCGGGCCCAGGACAGCGCCGGCAGCCGCCACGCCGTGACCATCCGGAAGGTGACACGGGTGGCGTGGGGTGGCCCGGGGAGGGGACAGCCCTGGGCTGGGGATGGCACCCCAGATGTCACCGGCAGCGCGGGCTGTGGGTGCCAGCTGAGCTCACGCACCCTCGTGAGCCCGGCGTGGGGTCCCGGTGGCACTGGTGGTCCCAGTGGCCCTGGTGGCCCTGGTGGTCCCAGTGGCCCTGCTGGCCCCAGTGGTCCCAGTGTTCCCAGTGGCCCTGCTGGTCCCGGTAGCCCTGGTGGCCCTGGTGGCCCCGGTGGCCCCAGTAGCTCCGGTGGCCCCGGTGGCCCCAGTGATCCCGGTGGTCCCAGTGGCCCCGGTGGCCTCAGTGGCCCCGGTGGCCCCAGTGGCCCTGCTGGCCCCGGTGGCCCCGGTGTTCCCGGTGGCCCTGGTGGCCCTGCTGGCCCCAGTGGCCCTGGTGGCCCCGGTGGCCTCGGTGGCCCCGGTGGCCCCGGTGTTCCCAGTGGCCCTGCTGGCCCTGCTGGCCCCGGTGGCCTCAGTAGCCCCGGTGTTCCTGGTGGTCCCAGTGGCCCCAGTGGCCCTGCTGGCCCCAGTAGCCCCGGTGTTCCCGGTGGCCCTGGTGGCCCTGCTGGCCCCGGTGGCCTCAGTGGCCCCGGTGGCCCCAGTGGCCCTGCTGGCCCCGGTGGCCTCAGTGGCCCCGGTGTTCCCGGTGGCCCCGCGGCCCCAGCTCACGGCCCGGCGGGACGCAGGCGGGCACCCAGCGGTACCTGGCACCCGAGATCCTGGACGAGAGCCTGGACCTGCGGGCCTGGGGCCGGGCGCTGCGCCAGGCCGATGTCTACGCGCTGGCGCTGCTGCTCTGGGAGATCCTGTCCCGCTGCCAGGCCCTGAGCCCCGGTGAGCCCCGTGAGCCCCGCGGTGCCCCCGCTCGGCTGCGCTGCCCCGGCGCCGCTGAGCGCCCGCCGCCCGCAGGAGCCCCGGTGCCGCCGTTCCGGCTGGCGTACGAGGCCGAGCTGGGCTCCAGCCCCACCGGGGCTCAGCTCCGCCGCTTGGCCGCGGACGAGAGGCGGCGGCCGCTGATCCCCCCGGCCTGGCACCGCGCCCCGCAGGTCAGAGCCCGGGCCGGGGGCGACCCGCGGGGTCCCGGGGGGACAGGGGGCCCGAGGGGGGTCCCTGCCTGGGCGCCCGGGGGTGTTCGGGGTGCCAAGGGGGGTGTTTGGGGCACCCAGGGGTGTTCCGGGCACCCAGGGGTGTTCGGGGTGCCCAGGGGGCTGTTTGGGGCACCCAGGGGTGTTCGGGGTGTCCAGGGGGCTGTTTGGGGCACCCAGGGGTGTTTGGGGCACCCAAGGGTGTTTGGGGCACCCAGGGGTGTTCGGGGTGTCCAGGGGGCTGTTTGGGGCACCCAGGGGTGTTCCGGGCACCCAGGGGTGTTCGGGGTGTCCAGGGATGTTCGGGGTGCCCAGGGTTGGGGCACCCAGGGGTGTTCGGGATGTCTAGGGGTGTGTTTGGGGCACCCAGGGGTGTTCGGGGTGCCCAGGGGTGTGTTTGGGGCACCCAGGGGTGTTTGAGGTGCCCAGGGTTGGGGCACCCAGGGGTGTTTGGGGTGCCCAGGGCTGGGGCACCCAGGGGTGTTCGGGGTCCCCCCGGTGTCCCCGCCCGGCTGCCCAAGGATGCCGAGGGTAGCGGGGGTGCCCTGCCCGTGTTTTGGGGTGCCACCCCGCGGGTCCCCAGAGGGTTTCGGGGGTGTGGGTGGCTCAGGACACCCAAGGGGGGGGTCGGGGGATCTCTGCCGAGCGTTTGGGGGGGTCGCTGCCCAGGGGTCCCCTCCCCGCTGCCCAGCGATGATGCTGAGGGCGCCGGGGGCTGTCCCCGTTCGGGGGGGACATCCCCGCGTGTGGGGGTCCCACAGCCCGGGGGGGCGCTGCCGGAGCTGCTGGAGGATTGCTGGGACCCGGACCCCGAGGCGCGGCTCTCGGCCGAGCGGGCGCTGCAGCGGCTCCAGCGCTTGGCCGCGGGGCCCGCACCGGCCCCGGCGGACCCCGGCCCGGGGGCCGCCCCCCGCCAGGTGCGTGCGGGAAACTGAGGCACGGGGCCGGCAGGGAGACACTGGGAACCTACTGGGGACTGTGGGGAAACTGAGGCACGGGGCCGGCAG